TACCAAAGTTCTCTATGATTTGTTATTTGGATACAAAAAGCACGAGGGAAAACGCAAAAATAAATTAGAAAAATTGTTTTATAAATTATACTAAATGACCTAGTGTGAACAGTTCAAATGTACATATCGTTACATGTCTTGATTCGCATATGTGTGTGCATGTAGTTATGCTTATTCTACGAATAGGATGCCAATTACACATTTTTAGTTTAAAATCAACCTCGCAACGCTGAATGTGATTGACTTACAGTATGTAATGCGTTATAGACAATGAAATGTAGGAGACGTTTGGTTATTTTGTCGGTTATTAATTATCGAAAAAAAGCTCTGGCTTAATAAACACTGACAGCGCTACACTTTGGCGAAAGTAGCCATTGAATTTCAGTAGCTCGAGGATTTTGACGCAGCAATGATGCTTCTAAATTAATTCATTTGTGATATATACTGAAGAGATCGTCTTTAATCAATTCCATTAGAGGCTTACGTGCTTGTAATAGTCACAGCAATAATGACATACACCATTCGCGTATAGGAGTATGTGATTTTGAGTCGTTTATACCTTAAAAACGAATATTATCTCATTATCGATATGATCACTTTCATATAATGTATAACATTGTTACTCTACAGGAAATTAGGAAGAGAAGGAACGTAAACGTCACTGCAGTCGCCTATGTGGAAAGCGATTTAAATTCTTGCTCTATGCCGAGCAGTAGTATCAGAAGTTTATGTGGCATGAGTTATACTTCTCCGACAATTATGGTCAAGAGACTTGATAAAGCGATGACGCTGATTGCAAACTCTTTCTCTACCTTACAAGTAACGCTAGGAAGTACCTGTAGTAGTGCGGTAAAGCAAATTTTATGTACAGGAGCATACCCGAGATGTTCAAGTGATTCTACTGTCGCTACATATGGAAGTATTGCTAGTGGGTGTAGCGGGCTTAGCTCATGTCCCGCCAATACTATCAGTTTAAATGGACAGACAGGAACTCAGATATGTACTTTATCAGGGAGACAAATCAGTTTAACTTCCTGTGGAAGATATAGCATGAATTCATTGAATTCGTTTCAATGCGGAACATTACCTTCGAATATTACTTTTCCAACTTGGTTGATACCTGAGCTGCCAGGTCAAAATGCTGCTATTACCAACTTGAGAAATACTTTAAGTAGGGCTGGAATTGGAACCAGCTGCACTAATAGGTGGGTTAGAATCTCATGCCGCAATGTACCCTTTTGTAGCAGTGATTCAAAAAAGCTTCTCGGTGTAATAAGCAGACAAGAATGTGAAGCTGCGATCAATTGGTAAGTATGGCAAGTGATGATATATTGCAGTATTAACAGTAATTATGTTGCATTAGAAAGCTTTTATACAGTGATACATATTTTTTCTTTTTATATTTATTAAGTGGAAGAGACTATTTAACTGTCTCAAAATATATAATATTCTTTTTTGTTTAGCTTGCCAAATAATGTACAAGCGGCTCTCAAGCTACTTTATGAATGCAGTATTTTTCCTGATCAAAATGCACAAACCTATGCAGTGCCTCCAAATCAAGGATATACTAATCATGCGTCATCAGTTGTGGTTGGATCTTTCCTATTTTATGCAATTTGTTCACTTTTATCACTTTTCTTTTAGATCTCTTTAAGCATCAGTGGTTTTTTATAGACAAGCAGTAACAAAAGCAGTTCGTTTCTCTTACCCCCAGATTAAATGTCAATTAGATTATGGTAAATACTAGAAATAGATTACTAACGTTTGGGTAATTTAATTATTCTACTACTAAAACTGAAAACCAACGAGAAAGTGGATATTTAGTTTATTAGCTAATATTGTAGTAATTCAAGTTGCCAATGATATTCCTGTACTTATCCATGTGTGAAAAATG